CAGAACCAAAAAGACTTTCTGAAACCCTGTTTTCAGCACACATCTTCAATTTTAATCTTTTATGGTTTGACTGAAATACAGCAATTAATTCTTAACATTTCCTGCCTGAAAAAAATGGCAAAAGAGGTGTTATCAATATGGCTGCAGAGTGACAGGAATTTGGTTAATTTAAAAAGCTCTAAATTTTTCTTAGTAGAACTATCAGGTAGGTCCTTCTGCCAATGAGGACAGAGAATGTCTTTCATTCAGAGACTGTGGTGTTATGCCACATTTCCTAACAGCTTATCCAAATCAGGGTTGCAGTGCTCCACGTTTCCGTTTCCCAAATTGTGTGTTACTTATCTCCACAGCCTTGAAAGCGCACAAAACAGTGAAACAACTGTTACCTTGCTTGGCTCAGTTTCAATCTGCCACAGCTTCCTGAGGCTGTTTAGGATCCGCAGACGGTCACCCAGACACCTTGGAAGAATAAAATAGAAAAAGAAGAGGTAAAAATAAAAGTGAAAAAGTTGCAGGAATATCTGGTGAGATGCATAAAATGTCTTGCGTAATATTGATAAAATTAGAAACGTCCTGTGTCAGAGTGATGCTGAAAAACTAGTCCACCAGGTTGCTGTGAAAACAGAAGCAGAACGGGAGGCTAGGAATTCAATTTTTGAGTTCTCACCTGTGGAACCAGTTCCACTTTGGGTTCAGGAAACAGACACTCTTCTCAGTCTGAGGCTTGATAAAGCTCATAGTTCGGCCTGGATCAGGTGATCCTGAATCATACCTTAGTTATACCGCAGCAAATGGCTGCTCCTCCCTGAGCCTGGCTCTGGTGTTTTTTTTATGGGTGCTGTATATACACACCAAATTGCCCTTCTTTGACACTACAGGTGTGCGCTGCTCTCTTTAATGGGTTAACCAGCTGTGACACAAACTGATTGCTGATGTTTCTATGCATTTGTTTTAGGTCCAATAACTTTGACTATATTGATAAATAGCCTGTAGTAAGAAGATTTACGAAGGGTTATATGAAAATATTGAAATTACCATTTTTGCAAGTTTTGTTATGACTGAATTACTGTACCTACTTTAAGTTCCACACGGTAATCCAACCCAGTACTTTTAAATATATTAATATTCGTGCTTTGTTTTATTTCTTGCAATTTATACAGTCCTGTCAGCCAGATCGCTTTTGAAAGAGACATTTTAAATCTCAATGGCATGAAAGATATGTAAAAGTCAGCTTGTACCCTGTGACAGGGATGCTCTCTCTGAGTCAAAATGTATGTATGTACGTATGTATGTGACAGCTTACAGTTCAGCGTGTCGTTTACAGTGGTTTAAATATTGGTAATCGTTTTCTGGCAAAGAAACCGGAAATTGCTTTTTGGCAGGACACCAGACTTCCCCCAGTCCACACGCCCAACCCAAGTTTTACAGAGGACGCACTTACTTTACGCCAATCTTCTCCAGGTCAGCATCCCTGAGATCCCGAAGCCCGACACCTGTGATTTTTTGCGCTGTACAACACAACAGTTTCGATGTTAGCTTAGATGTTACAATGAAAACAGAAGTCCGCAGATTAGCGCTAATAACAATTAGCTTCGAGCGCCTAATTTAAGATGGCAAAAGCAGAAAACCAACCCTTGAATGTGTCCACCCATTCTCCAAGACCTTCTCTTCGCAGGTACCGGCACATTTCCTCCACTCCCCACTGCATGTAGTCCGAATCCGACACCCGGACCACTGACACTTTCTTTTCCGGCGTTTTGAAGCTATCATCTGGGCTTGAAACCGCTGCTAATGGTCGCTTTCGGTTCTCCATGGTGAGCTAACAAATTGGCACCTTTTCGCTTTAGATGCGCAAGTTAAAGCACGAGAAATTATAGCCGATAGCCGTTCTCCCGTCGACTACTGCAGCTGATCTGACAACTGTGCAGAGAAGACACGAGAGAAGTGAAAAATGCCGGGGTTTTGACTTTCCTCAGGGAGCCACAAAACATAGCGAAACACTAACAGCGCTTCCGGGGATTCCTTTCAAAATAAGACTGTTTTGTTCACATGGCTGACCGACCAAGACGTTATGACTCATTGTTTTCTTTTAAAGATAAATTATATTATGCTCAGCTATAGTGATTTTTTAAAATTGCTCTTCATGTGAAAACAAAATTTGTGTGTCCAAATAATGTTTTCAGTATGCCATTTTAATGGGATATTGCAGCATAAAACCCATCTTAACGCCCTGCTTTTTGGGTGGCATAACCAAAAAGCAAAAGCAAAGATCCCCCCAAAACTATTATCGTTCCACATTTCCATCCCCCATCTAATCTGGGCTATTTTTTATTACTGACTGATCAGTAATGGCACTGCTAAATTGTTATTTGGGCTAAAAGTCTATGGTGTTCTCCACATGAGGCCCAGAAGTTATGAACTGGGTTTGGTATATGTGATGGCAAGTGCCATCTGGGTCTGCTATAACCAAATGTTAGAAGGTCTTGATGCATGCTCAATCATCCACGTAAGTAAATCTCCAAAAGTTGATTCTGTTCATCTGGACGTAGCGTTTCATCACTCATCCAAGTGACTTCTTCAGCTGACTGCAGGTTTCCCCAATCTTATAAACAGTACATTTGCATAATGACTGAAACCAGCCCACTGAAGGAACAATGGGCTGGGAGGTCAGTTCCTTAATCTTAATTATGCAAATTCTCATGACCATTGATCAACAACCACTGAGATTGGGGAAACCTGCAGTCAGCTGAGACTGAAGGTTTGAGACTGAAGGACTGAACGTTTCTCCCACAAAACGCTACGTCCAGATGAACAGAATCAACTTTTGGAGACAAATGTTATAAAACACCTGATATCTCTGACATCTGGCTTGTACTGTACGGCAGACTTGTAGCTGACCTAATATTGACCCGAATCGAGAATATCACTCAGGATCGGGTTTGACTTATAGGAATGGCACATTTGGGCCACTTTTGAGCCTGACATATCTGTGTTTACCTCAAAAAGTATTTCCATAAAGTTCTGGGTCTTTATGACAGCAGACTCTGAATACAGAACAAAACCAGAAACCCGTAACTCAGACACTTATACACCAAAGATTATGATGTTGAATTATAAAAGTATCCAATGACTAAAGATGACTGAAAAAACAACAACAATTTTATTCCTGTTTTTCTGATACGCTCCCTACTTCACTGTTAAATTTTATAGATCAATAACCCCTTATAAAGAGTGCTGCTAAAGTATTGGTTAATAATTAAATAAATGAAAAAGATCTTCTTGATACATATTTAAAAAATAGGCAACACATTCTGCTTCCGGTCTATAACTCGCTACTTGCGGACAGCTTGATGCACGTCGCAAGTACTTGGATGACAAGTAGGGGGCGGAGCAAATTGCGATGAAGCGAATGAAGCCTCACATAAAGTGACTCGGTGACGTAAACGCATAAAAAAGGCGGTGTTATGTACAGTAACTTCATATCGATTAAAACCGTCGGAGCTGTCAAGGAGAGACGGTCATTATCATGGACGCTGTCCGGTAAAACACACTGATTAAACAACACTGTATAGTAGTCTGCTCTGTTCTTTAAATATTTAAAATACAAGTGTAGCAATTTTATTCTATTTACTTTGATTAATTAATTGAATGGTTTATAAAACAAGTAAAATAAATATTTGCATAGTTATAATTTTTTTCTCTAATTTCTTATAACTATATCTAATGATACTAATGTACTGATGATAACCCCATTTGAATCAATTCTACCATCAGTTTTGGTGCTTACAATTCACTCTGATAAATGTAAACTGTAAACCTGCTGCTGGATTTTTAGTCATCCATTATACCTTGAACTTGTTCCTATTCACCATCAGTAATTTGATTTAGTGTTATTTTCTCAAAAATCACTACATATAAACCACATGCTTGGACATGTCCTAAAGCTCTACCTCAGTTTTCTAGTATCTGGCTGTGCACTCTGTCCCTCACCCTTTACTTCCTGTATGTTCTTCTGCCTGTAGATGCTTGTTTGCAGTAGTAAGGTGTGGACCTTCAAGTCACCAGCTGTTGTTAATCAGCTGTTGTCATAAATACCTGGTGCCCACTCCAACACCCTGCCACATTGTAGACTGACGTTAAAACACTTAGCTGAATATGTAGCTGTTAAGAATAGGTGCATTTCTAGCCTGATAGCATCAGTGCTTCTTCCCCAGCCTAATTCCTGCAACCTCCCTCCTTTGGCTCAGCCTTGGATGATCTTTTTAATACCAGTTTATCATCTGTTATTGATAGGAGAAAATGCCCCATAAAATGGGAAATAAATGGCCTTTAAATTAGGAAAGTAAGGTAAACTAAAATGTTTACCTTTTTTCCATCGTTGTATGTATGGGAAGTCAATATATACTTTTATAAATATAGCATTATATCAAAATCTCTTCTTTTGGTGTAACTTCAAAATGATACAACAGAAAGAGAAAAGGAGCTTTATTTTGAATAGACCCGAAATCAACAAACACATCTAAACAGTAAAACAGCTAAAAGTTTCAATTAACCTTTGGTAGGTTTTCATTTAGAGACCCATTACATAATAAAGAATAAATTTTCACACAGTCAAAACTCACAAGAGTACCCAATGCTTGTCTTAACCATATATTGATCAGAGCTGAGCTATGTGATATAATATAATAGTGAAAATTGCGTGATATATAGTTTATGCAATACATGACTTGTTTTAGATTTTAGGTTCTTACTTCACATAGATACATATTGCAGAAAGTAAAAAAGCCTTGCTAACCACAAAACCATATCAACCGGAGATGTGGAAGATTTACAAATCATTCAGTATGTAAATATATTGGTTATATTTAATTTCCAAACTAAACCACTTAGTTAAAATAAAAGATAAAAAACAAAAAGAAGATATTGTAAAATAGACAAAGTACTTAACTTTTATGATTTAAATTCCTGTTTCAGAATCTCTGCAGTATCATTAAAACTTAGTGTCTGAATGTTTAACATCTTCAGATTCACTGGGCGTCTCCTGCTGTTGCTTTTTTGACGTCACTCTAATTCTCCAATTCTCCTCCACCTCCTGTATTTATATAAAGTTCATTAGTACAACCAAAAAGGCAAAGTTATAAATCTGTAATTCGTAATTAGGACTCTAATATTAATACCTTTTTCACAGCCTCGAAGCACTTCTTTGCATCTTCCAGACGCTTATCATTACGTCTCTTCCAGTAAACTCTAATATGCTTCTCAGAAAAGCATTCTGGGAGAAGATTGGATACCTGACAACAAGGACAGTGACATAAAAATGACAAAATGTGCAGCAGAAAGTTGTCCTATATATGCACTGTGATTCTGACCTCTTCTGGCTTGATCTTGAATCCAATGGTAGGGTTAAACTTGCTGTAGAAATATGTATAGTTACTGATCGGGTCTTCATTTTTCTTTCCATAGTCAAATTTGGCAACCTAAAAGAGAAGTGTGACAGAGAAGCTGGTGTTTATATTCACATGTAAATAATGGCTCATTGGAGGTTCGCAACGTCTTTTGAATCAAATGATTATTAACAAAATCCAAGATATTAAGAAAAGACTTATTGAAGGCAATTAAATTAAAAACTCACTTTAACTTCAAAGTTGTCGTTTTTATCCTGTTTTCCATCCTTAGGAATGACTTTAGCCAGTTCTGTTTTTAAACGTTTAGTCACGTCCTGAAATAAGGAAGAGAGAACCTGAGCCTTTATCTTATTATTGATATGTTAATCTTGTTTTATGATGAATTCTCATTCTTACCTCTGCTTTCTCTTGGTCTTTTTTCTTGAGCTGAGAAAGTCAGAAAAATTGGAGTGAGAAGACAGAGATTTGTTCATTATTGGTAACAGTAAGAGAACCTTTACCTTACACTCCTTCCATGTGTTTCTCAATTTTCAATTTTTTTTCGGTTTGAAACTGGACTTTTCTTAGATTCCTAAATTCAAGACTTTCTTAGGTCTTCCAAGACTTTAAAATATTTAAATCTACAGCTTGGTGTTTTAGTTCACACATAGAAAAAATACTCAGAAAGTAGTAGTAGTGTATACCTGTCTAGCTCCTGTTAGGGCATGTGTGTAAAGGCAATGTCAGAAAAGCCAGTCACATATCACGTGCTGACACCAGGCTTTATATTAGGTTGATTTTATTAACAACAACAGGGAATAAACATGGAGATTAAACTGGGCTAATAAGAGAGGTTTACTGAATAACTATTAAAGACTATGTATTGAAATTCCTTTCGTCAAGCAACATTAGCAACAAAAATTTATTGTTGCTAAACGTTTTTTGCAGCCATGCACATGAAAAATTTGTTCCATTGTCAAAACTTTTTGGCCATGACTGCATATTCATAATGTCAGGTTTAGAAATTGTAGATAAGAAAACATCTTCAGCTGTCAATAGTGAACTTGTAATACAAACACATGAAAATATAACTGCAGACCTTTATTTCACCCACAAGCTGGTACAAATCTCGACGCATTATCCTCTGTATAATCTGTGCTGCCTCCTCCAGAGAGGAAGGGGTGGAAGCATCATAGTGGAGTATTTGTTCAATCACTTCATCTACAGAGCAAACAGAACAAATAAAATGCATGTATAGACAAGTTCAGATGTTTTAAAAGTTAAACGAGTAGTTAATTTTAAACACCACACTTCAAATCCTCTACCTGTCAGCTTGGTGTATGCCTCCTTGTGCTTTTTAGCTTCGGAGAGACAGCAAGCCTCCCCTTCTGCCCATTTAATTTGGAGGTCCTGATCTGCTTTTAAGAGAGCGTCTTTAATCCTGAATAAAAATGGCCAACATGTCAGTTTTAGGTGAGACAGTAGACAAATTAAATGTTGTGTAGTACTGACACCTGAACTACAGGTACTCACATAATCTCTACTGCCATTTTTACTCTGTGCTGGTAGGCTCTTCTGTGGAGAGAGTTTCTTGTGTGGAACATGTCATACAGATTTGCTATTTCCTGTTGAAAGCATGCCTATAGTTTAGTCACAGATAATGAGATAAATAGCTCGCTCTTTTCAAAATTAATAAAAAAAACCAAAACAGGTCAGCACCTTGTCTCTAGAACAAATGTGCAACTGCCCGTCCACATTACACACTCTGGCAAATACGATAAAGCGTCGATGGTCAAAGTTGTTCTGGATGCCCAGGTGGTGGCAATCCCTGAAATAGGAGTGAGAAGATGTGGATTTCAAAAAACAACCATTCCCCCCACAAAGATGTTCAAAGTATTCCTGAGATTCTTCATATCGTGTAGTAAAACAAACATTATTGAATATTGTTGATGTTCAACAGGAACTGATACAGAGAAATTTAGCAATACAAGTTAAAAGAGGACAGTTTTACTGGATAGCAAGCTTCACCTTGCGAAGTAGTCAAACTTGTCCACATCTATTCCATTTTGTTTGTTTGCCACAATTTCATAGAGAAAGGATTTTTCATTGTTTCGACCTTTATACAACTGCTGTGGAGATGAAGCCAGAATAATAACGTTAGGCACAGTTTTTTCCAGGAATAATCCTGACTGATTTCAAAACATTCACACAAAAAAAAACGATGAATACCTCATTCAGAGGTGAATTGTTCTTCACAGATCCTTTAATCATCTCCTTGATAAACACCAGGTCATTCTCATTGTCACCTTCTGTTATCAGTCCGTACTCATTCATCACTGGCGTCAGTTTATTGTCATCCACTAGGTGATCAAACATTAATATAGAGGCATCCTCATGCTGCAAGAACACAAAGACAAGCATTTTAATGATCACAGATTCAAAGTGGACCCCCCCTCCACCCCCCCAAAACAAACAAACAAAAACACAGGTTAACTTCTCAGGTAATAAGTAATCAAACAACATTTATATGCTTTTCAAATTTCAAATGTAACAGTCACAATTCCTTTTACAAAGCCAACAGGTCTGACCTAACCTGTGAAATGCATGTTCATTGTTAATTTACCATTTAGTGGAACTGCTGTAGCTAATGTTACTTGGCAAATTTATTAATTAAATTTTATTTAAACAAATAAAAGCCCCATCATAATAGATGTAAAATATTGACAGCAGTAACAAAAGGAGAGATTTACTGTTCTTCTTTTCACCCCCTGCCTGCACCAATATGATTTTGTTTTTTGTTTTTTGTTTTTACATCCATCTAAATTAGTATTCTTCAGTTTCTTTTACAGAGGCTCAGATTTTCCTAACTTTGGACAGAGACAGTTTGTTTTAAGTTTTCAGTCTTCAGTCACAGTGGAGCTAACTCAGTGAATCTGTATTTATTCTGTATGGACTTTGGATTTCCTCCAGGTACTTCTCACATGATCCAAAGATGTGCATATTCTGTTAATATGTATTTGTCAATGGGCCATGTAAAGTAGAGAAAGTGCTCAAAGTGTGTGGAAATAAAGTTTTGTAGTGCTTCAAGTGGTCAGTGAGACCAGAAAAACAGCGAAATAATTGCTGGTCCATTTCCATTTTTTTCTGTATTTTTATATATGTTTCAGTTTTTGGAATGACTGCTACGACCCATTTCACACAAACTGAAACTAATATTTTTCTTTCTTACCTCCCATTTTTCACCATTTGGGTCTGCTTGAGGGTTGAACATTCCATCAAAGACATGAGAAAAAGGCCCGTGACCTTGAATTGAAGGGGAAAAAAAAGGTGAATGTGTGTGAACTTCAGATTGGGTGACTTGTGATAAATTCCTGTAAGGCACTGACAAAAATCAAATAAAAATCTATTTGATTATATTTGGTTATTAATACTTTTGTAAATTTCCAGGAAAAAACAGTCTCCTCCAACTTTCAAACAGAACAACTTGTTTGAAGGAGGGGTGTATGGACTACATGACAGAGCCACCTTACATCTTCAATATAATGCATGTAATACTGAAAAACGCGTGTATGATTTACCCAGGTCATGGCAAAGGCCTGCAATCTGCACACAAAGGACATCTCGGTCATTGATGAGGGATTCTGAGTTCAGTGACGGCTCCTCCAACTGTTTTGCCCTCAAAGCTTTTACAAGCTCTCCTGCCAAATGCCCCACTCTGTATCACAAAACACACAGTTCACCATGAAAAAAACTGAAAAAACAAACAATTTATCAAAAAATGTGTAACTCCAAACATGTTGACATACCCAACTGAGTGCTCAAAGCGGTTGTGTGACGCTCCTGGAAAAACATAATAACCGCCCCCAAGTTGCTTGATTTTTCGTAGTCTCTGAAACTGGGGCGTGTCTATGATCTTGACAAGAAGTGGAGGTAACTCGATGTGGCCATGGATGGGATCATTAAACACCTGAGTGAAAAAAAAGAAAGAAATTTTTTTGATAAACTGTGTCTATCTAAAGATGAGTAGTAGCGCTGAGTCTTTTTTATTTTTATTTTATTTATTCTCCCTTAATTTGATTTGTTACTATATTTCACTTCTTATTTGTCATAGACTGCCAACAGGCTCAATATACCATAACCATTAAAAAGGTACATGTGGATGGATTAATAACAGCTGTTGAAAAACCAAAAGGTAACAGTAAAGCATGTAATGCTGTGTGCTGCTCAGGACAGCACCCACACACCCATTTATTTTCCAATGCAAGAGGGAAAAGATTCATAGAATTAAACAACTAATGTTAAGGAATTAAACATGAACAACAAAAAATATTTCCTAAAAACCATAATCTACAACTTACCTTTTTTCTGTGTTTAACATAACACATTTAACATCTTATGATCAGCCATTTTACTGCAAGATGCTACCAAACAAACACTTTAAGCATATGTGATGCAAGAAAGCCCATAGAGACAAAAAAAATTGGTCAAAGCTGTGATGTGATATTTAGGTCTACATTTACTAGTGCTTTGCACAAGGGGCAGTCACTTCTGTTGGATTTTACTAAAGAGGAACAGTGCCAGTATTTTGGGGGGCATTTAGCCTGATGACACATTTGAAAATATGTAAACATGGGAGTGGAAAGTTCTTTACTGTTCTACTGACAGTGCACTGATTTCTATACCAAGATGTAGCTGCTCAGTTTATCTCAATAATTATTACTATCAAGTAGCACAAATTAGTGCCTTAAAAACAAGCACACCCTCCCAGTGAGGCAACAATGTCTTAAATAATAATAATACTGTGGGTAATATGAAAGTGCAGGTTTTATGCATGTTTTTTTTTCTGAAAGCATCATGAGCAGATAAATTTGGGGACGCTGAAGAAGAATAAATGTGGTTTTGATATAAAAGTAAAATATTAAAAATTTTTGTGACTGTGTGAGCTCTTTAGGACTCAGACTCAAGTGGAGCACAAATCCAGAGGGCACATTTAAGGGGGTCACAGATGCGGTGGAACCAGGGATTCTCTTCACCCGAGGTGCAATTTGTTTACAAAAAAAAGAAGAAATACTGATAGTCAGGTGGCACAGGTTGGTGGTATGAACAACCAAAAATAAATTTGTACAAACAAACTGTTAAAAAAAATGAAGGAGACTTATAAATCAACTACAGATAATTTCAAAGGCCGACCAGCCTTTATTCTTACAGAGCCACCTTGAACTCCACCCTCAGGAACTCAGCCTCATAAAGCTTAAGCCCCTCCCCTAAGAACAAACCATACAAGTAATTAATTAGTTTATACTCGATACTCATAACCAAAATATGACAACGATATTCTGTTTATCACTTCTGAGGCTTCGACACAAAAATCACAAATACAGAAGTTTATTCACAATGACTAAAAGGCTATTTAAACAAAAGATTGACAAACTGCCCTCTGTTTCTTACTGCTTAGTAAGAGCCCAATTCCTCTCTACTATAAAGAGGTTTGGAAGTTACTATTTCCTGTTCGCAGTCTGTACCTACAAATGGTGGCAACATGTAATAAAGGAACCTTGAACATTCTGGCAATACTGTTAAATCAACTTTGCAATAAATGGTTCTGAATAGATGGGCCCACTGTGTGACTATTTTATGGTATGAAATGGTATTAGTACAATGCTTAGGAGAATTAGGGGAAGTACGTATTTTATTTCACCTACTTAGGACTTCAAACAAACTATTGAAGGAATAGCATCACATTCACAACTAAAACAAAAACTGTATTTTGTGGGCTAGATGTTATAAATTGCCATTCTAGCATGTTGTGGGATATATGTAGTCCTCTAGAGGGCATCGGTTATCCTGTGAAAATCACGATCCTGGGCCAATGTTATTATTATGATGATATAGGAAGAAAACTAATATGGGGGTATCAGGTAGACCTATCCAGAGGCAAGAGCTGCATTATTCCGAACTATTCTACCATGTAAACCTGAAATTGTTTTGTGTGCTTTAATGGAAGCTCCTACAAATACATCTCTGATAAAGTCAACCACTAAAATACCTTCACTGTCAATGCCTTTCAGTTCCAAACCGATACTGTGCCTCTTGATCAGTAGCTAGTTTACACTAATGTCTGGTGAAGACAGTTGGTAGATACGACCCCACCTGCTCTGTCATTTTTGCTGTGACATCATTACACATATATTTCTAGGAATTTCACTTTCAGAACTCCACAGACAGCCACAACACAAGACTGATGCAGCCAATCAAGAAATAAAAAACAAAAAATCTCACTCACTTTTACAATATCACCAATAGTATGTATTACCTTTATTGGAATAAAAAAAAACAAAAAACAGTAGCACTGAGGTGATGGCATCATGACATGATGCTCCTCTGTTTCTTGAGACTGGAGTATTTGTCTCCTCTTATGCAGTTATTGTGAGCAAAACTGGTCACTGCACATGCTTCATGAATCCAGTGATAAGTTTGAGTTTGCACTTCTTTTGTAGGTGAGGTAAGGACATTTTAACTGATTTATTAATTATGAGCTCACTTCTGCTTTGAAGCAGAAACAATGAGCTTTGAAAATGAGATCTCATTGCAAGGACAGAATAGTAATCACTAGATTAGTTTGCCCTAACCAAATATAGCCCAATATAAAAAAAGGATATTCAGTGAAAAAAAGAAGACTTGTTATACCCCTCACTTTTTGCAAGCATGTAGACAAACATCTTGATGATGTTTGTTCAGGTAGTTCAGGTACAGTTAAAATTTTAGGATGAAGTTACGAATATTTCAAAAAACATTTTGGTTCGAAAATGGAGGAAGTGCAGTGCAGGCTCATTTTTACTGCAAGGTATTTAAACATGTGCTTGGAAAGCAAATTCAATTCCAGGGATACATTTGAGTATATAAACCTCAGTGTTATTGGCCTTCCTCTAAACACAAAAAGAAACTGACACTAACCTGATGGAAGCCAAGAGACCTTTGGACTGTTGTGCATTAAAAATCAATAAAAATTCGAATCTTTCTTCAACACAGAACAAAATTCAGTGTATGCATATGTGCTGACATAGGACCTGTTTTTAGTAATGACTAGTAATAACTTTTTAGGGATCTTATTTAAGATTGACTATGGATTTAAAAAAATAAAATAAAATAAAAACATCATCACTGTTTATTGAACGACACAGATAATAATGATGCTTACACTGAGCACTTCTAATCAGGTATAAGGTATAAGACCAACAATTTTCAGACATTATCACACACTAAAACTGCCATGTAAAACTCTAAAATGTAATATTTTAAAGTCTGTTTTAATTACCTTGGCCATGGCGATTGAACTTCAGTCTGCACAAGAAGGATGTCTCTGTCAGCAACATGGAGTTCTGATTGCTATGTACTGCAAGTTCCTCTCTCTATATACAGATATATTTGTTTAGTGTTTTATGATTCTTCTCCACCCTTTGCTCCCATCCTGTTTTTCTGTCTCTCTGTTTATGGATGTGGCACTTTCTCTCCTCCCGATTACACACCTTCACATTTTCACATCACTGCTGTGAAACCTGTGCTTAGGAACATTATTTATTTTTAATAAAGTATTCCTAATTCCTAAAGACATCCTTCTTGTGCAGACTGAAGTTCAATCGCCATGGCCAAGGTAATTAAAACAGACTTTAAAATATTACATTTTAGAGTTTTACATGGCAGTTTTAGTGTGTGATAATGTCTGAAAATTGTTGGTCTTATACCTTAGCCCGGATCTCAGCTGACCCTTCTCACCCTGGACACAGTCTGTTTGACCTGCTCCCCTCAGGCAGGAGGCTC